CTCTGTCTGAGTGGCAGCATCCTTTTGTTCTGAATCATCTTCTTCTGGTGTACAGAAGTCAATATTCAAAACTTCAGTACCTGGTTCATTCAGTTTCTTTCGCTTTGCCAACAGCTCTTCGTCACTAGTGTGTTCAGTGTCAAACGGCAAAGACCTCTTTTGCTCGCGATTTCTCGCTCTCTCGCTTCTCTTTGCCGCTGTTTCCAGATTTGAACGCTGCTTTTTCTTGTGTCCTAATTGAAGAGTTGGAACCCAGTCTATGTTGTATTTATCCCAAGGTTTCGCAGCCCTTCCACTTAYGAAGTGTTTGCCACATACTCGATCATTCTCGATAATCGCCTCCGTCAGATCATCTCGGCTYATAGCTGTGATCCACCTCGATCGCCTTTCTTCTGACAAATATTTAGCTTCTTCCCCTTGACTAGTAACGATAGAAGGTACTCTTGCAAAATAAACTCCTTTATCTCTTCCACTTTTCGATGCGCAGCCAACAATCATACATAAAACCATCTTCACACTCAAGACGCTCTTGGTTTGTTTACACTTTTGGTACACCAATATGGCGGCTAGCAACGGTTGTCAAGTGATTTGGTCACGTGCGTGAAAACGATCTATATACACTCAAATGATAAATTAGAGAATATAATTGCAAAGCTGATTCCCTACGTGGCAGCCACTGTACCTAGATTGAGTCTTCTTCCTTGTGTTCTCTATCCAAGGCGGTTTACTTGGTAAAGCAGCGGCATCTCCCCTGTTAAAAAATGGTTTAGAAAAAAGAAAAAATGGAAGGACAAAATAATATCTTAATTTTTTCGTCACAATTTTTTTCCACTCATGGTAGTGATTAAGGGAGTGCAGTAAAAAAGAAAGTATCCACGTCATTAYCCCAATGAGAAGATGCTTTCCCTCCTTTCCCCAAAGGTGTTTTATAAACAAAGTAGTAATTTATCAAATTGAGCTGATCCTCACTCACAGTATATCAAGCAACTTATGCAGTTACAAATTCTCAGATTTTTCTCTGAATCTTTAAATTTGCAGCTGCATAAGTTGCTTGATATACTGCGAGGATCAGCTGAATTTGATGCATGGCAATCACGTACAAATATATAGTTTGTATATATTTGCATCAACAAAGTCGTAATTATAATAATACCCTCCTTGCACCATCCCCAATCCTTGAAAATTCCAATTCTCTGCTAATTAATCCCCTTTATGCAAAAAGCCCAGGCGGGGGCCTCCGGGAAAAAAGGACCTGGGATGCTCATTGGAAATTTTCAAAAAGACCCCTAAAAGATACAGGAAGTCTTTAAAAAAGGGCGTGGCTGAATGATTTTTAACCCCTAAGAGATACCACAACAAATAATATTAAATTAAAAGCGCCTAGGATAARCCATACTGATGCACGCTTCTCTCCTTTTCTGACACCCTAAGAGATACCAGAAAATCCTGGTTTTCAAATATTTGCATTTAACACCCTAAAAGATACCAAATCGCGAATTTTTACCCCTAAGAGATACGACGAGCATCCCCCCCCGAAAGTCGTCCCCCCCCCCACCCCAGGGCAAAAAGTACGGATATTATCTAGAACTAGAAAAATGTATACACCAAATGGAAATATGGTGACCAATTTTGATAGCTATTGTTCTGGACTGACTAGCCTCTCTTATGTATGAAAATGCTTTTATGTTTGCAGGTGGAAATAAGGCTAGCCAGTCAAGAACAATAGTTATCCACATTGGTTGCCATATTTCAATTCAGTGTAGAGGGTGAATGATTTACCGTAGAGCATCCATACTTGTATCTTTATTGGAATCAAAGTCTGAAGACAGATTAGGGGTGGAATTCCATCTAAAAGCATATGCATTCTACATTAATAACCAATAAACAGAACCAACCAAAGTACAAGAAGTCAAGAACCTCCTCATACTGTTATTATATAGCTTAGATAGTATGCAAGGTCTGATTGGTCAAGATTTGTGCTTCATAAATGAACTGAGCATGGTTGCTGTTGCCCACTGCATGGGCAAAGAAGTGTAAGAAAACAACATTGAAAAGCACTCTTCACACTTCTTTCATGCTCCTGTGACTTCCTGCATGAACTATTACTGAATGGAGCATTGTTAGAATGATGTTTCATCACAGAGGTATGAGTAGAGAAGCAATTAGGAAAGGTACAACTTTATATGACAGAAGGATGGGTTACACACCTTGTAACTTGTTTTTGTTGTGTACCTCCCATTTGTTTGCTCCAGAGAAGAGATTCTAATGCAGCAGCCTTGCTCCTGAAGAGAAAAACAATCAGCAAAAATAATTACTGTCATCATCATCACCCTCATTAACATCATCATCATCACTGTTGAGCATCATATTCATCATCGTAATCATCAAAATCAGAATCAAAAATATTATCACCATCACCATCATCATCATCATCACCATCATCATCACCATCATCATCACTGTTGAGCATCATATTCATCATCATAATCACCAAAATCAGAATCAAAAATATTATCACTACTTCTCTCATCACCATCAGTCCATCACCATCATCACTGATCATTATCACCATCATCATCATTACCATAATCATCACCATCACCATCATCATCACCACCATCATCATCACCATCACCTTCACTATTATAATAACAGAGTGACATCATCATCATAATCATCATTACTGAATAACGTTACCATAATCAACATCATCAATTAATAAAATTTGTACTTACTTTTCAATTTGTTTCGTAAATCCAGAGTTTCCAGGTTGAGGTGAGGCCCGAGGTGACTGCATATCAGCTGAAGATTTTGGTGTTGAAATAGGAACTGGAGATGAGCTTTGCACTGGAGGTCTGTAAAAGTTAAGGATAAATTATAATTGGCCATTCCTAGGTTGAGGCAAAAACTGGGCTGAGTTGGCATGYGGTGCATGTGGGACCGTTTTAGGGTACAAATTTCCAAGATGGCATCTAATTGGTCCCCTAAAACATCCCACAATGCACTGCAATGCAAACTCCACCCAGTTTCCCCTCAATTTTGGAATAGCTAATAACAGAAAATAAGTTTTAGATAAAAATATATAATAAATAATGAATAAATAAATAGCTTATAACCTTGATGATGTTAAACTGTCATCAACCTCTGGTTTATCAGCCTCTTTTCTGAGTTTCTTGTCATTTTTTTTGGGTGTACTGATGTTCATTATTGCTTGGTTGCCATGTGTATGCATCTTACCAGTAACATCTGTGGGTCTACCAGTGTCTGTCTTGGCTTGACTAGTGACTATTGGTAAGTCTTTGGGGTTATCTTGTATGGAATCAGTAGAGTGATGAAGGACTACTGTCTCACTTCTGATTACTGGCTGGACATTCTTCACAAACAACATGAAAACACAAGATTTTGTTCTCTTAATTATATTTTACGGGAACAGACCTTTTTCTCAAGGCTGCATGCTAATCCAGATTTAAGAAACTTGACAGGCCATGATACCAGAACCAGAGCTTTATGAAAATTATTCAACATAGATTTTTTGATAACCATTCATAAAATCTCCTCTTTTAATATAAAACTGCCTTCTCAGTTTTGTGGCCCATCAAGATTGGATGCTCCTGCAACCTTGCAAAAACRGTCTATTGTGACATTAGTTGTTTCAAGAATAGTAGTAGTACCAACTTGTACAGAGTGTAGTAGTATAGTCCACTGGGCTCTCACCTCTTGACTCTCAGGTTTGATTCCTTGACTCGGTATATAACATGAGAGTAGAGTTTGTTAGGTATCTTACTTGATTCAAGGGTTTGTGCCTAGATAATGATTACTTACTTCAGACTTTTTTAAAGGTTCTGATAGGTTGATCACTGTGCTATAATCAAAGACTTGATTGCCGCAGCCCTGTCATAATGAAAGAATACATTTAAAAATGAGGATTGCCAAATGAATGAATGAATGAATAAACTAACGAATGAATGATTGAATGAATGGGATGCATGAGTATGATGGATTGATGGACAGATAAATTGGATGGATAAATGGGTGGGTTAAAGGATGAATTGAAAGCTGGATAAATGAGTGGGAGGAAACGGTGGTATGAAGTACGTGTGGGATGAAGGATAAAGAAATGAAGGATAAAGAAATGAAGGAATGGAAGGATGAATGGTATAAATGGATAGATAGACAGAAGGATGGAGAGAGGAAGGAAGTGATGAATGGCATGAAAAGATGGAAGGGACGGATGGATGGATGGAGGCATGGAGAGAGGGAAGGTGGAGGGAAAGAGGATGGAAGGGGATGAAAGGAATAATGAATAAAGCAATAAAATATTACCTTGTCAATAGTCCCTGTCCACGACAGCTCCCCACCAGTAAATATCCTAACATCCTTGACACCAATATTCAAGTCCTGAAAAAAATGAAAATCAAACCACGTATTAACCTTCTTCTCTTTGATGGTATCCCTGTGGTGTTGTCAAATACCACAGGAAACCCAAAATGAAAACATCAACACTACACTACCTTAACACCTCCATTGAAGTTCCAGATGACTATTTTTGCTAGATAACTTGGGTTGATTGGGAGGTGGAACATTAGCTCTACAGCAGAACCAGGTAGGAACTGGCAGTACCACATGTATTTTGATTTATTGGTCTGGCAAAACAACGAAAATAATGGAAATTTATTTTTCTTAAAAGTAGAAAAGAAAAAAGCAGAAAACAAATCATGCGCAACATGCTACAAGTTACCTTAGTTTTCCCATTGGCCAGGTTACCAAGTGCTCCTTGGTCACCAAGGTAACCAGAGACACTGACATCATCAGCAGTGTATCGAAGAATCTTGCCTTCAAGATCAAAGAACTGAAGCTACAAATAAATAAAAGACAAAAGAGTTAGGGAAAATGTGCAGTTTTAGAAAATGAGCTATTGATACTTCTTCTAGTGGTGGGGAGGGTCAGTAGAGGGGTGGGGAGGGTCAGTAGAGGGGTGGGGAGGGTCAGTAGAGAGGTGTAGTTACTGAACAATACCTCACCACATTGAAGTGGATTCATAAGAGAGGTATAATTGGGAATCCTGCTTTGCAGGCAAATACATAGAATTAATATAAGTTATCAATTTTTTCTCATGCCTACAGTCCATTCTCACTCACCTCTGTGATGCCGAGAGTGTTTGGATGTCCCCAGTTGGACCGTATTTCTATAGTGATCTCCGAATCTCCTTCACTTTCATTTAAGAATGACTCCCCTACTGATTCTCCTCCATGAGAAATCTTAGGAGGAAAAAATAAAAGTTTAGGAAGCATAGTGATCAGTTGTGACTCAGTTTAAATGGTGTTTCAGATTGAGTACTTCCAGAAATTATCCATACCCCCCCCCCCCCCCCCTAGAGGAATTTGGAAATTCCAAGGGGTAGGGCATATGAGCATAGTTTAAGTTGGTTCTCCCTTTGACTCAGAGGGTTTTTCTGGCCCTCCAGTTTTTCCTCCCTCCTCTCGAATCAACCCTAACTAATTCAAACTGGTTTTAAACTGAGCTCCAGGGTCATACATGGACTGTATTAATAGAGGCACATTCTCCATGGATTTGACCCAGTTAAGCTGCTGTTTGGGGTGGTGATCTGCAATAAACAGTTTATAAAGAGCTCTATTTGCATACCACACTTGACTTGGCTTCTACTGCCTCAGGGCTGCAGCTTTGCTGTGGTGCAGTAGAATAAGGCACTGTCGCTTTCATGGGTGAAGCTCTCTGCTTGGACACGGAAGATGTAGATTTGAAAGGTGGTTCTTTCAGCTCAAGTTTGGACAGCAGAGAGATTAGATGTTGCTGTTGTCTATAGTAGATAAAACACAAAATTTTATCTTTAACCATCATTATTAATATCATCTACATCAACATCATCTTCTTCATCATCATCATATTCATCATCATCATATCTTTGTCATCATCATCAACATCATCATTACCATACCATCATCATCATCATCGCTGTCATTGTCATCTTTTTCCAAACCCTTTTTCCATATCCTCAATACCATCACCATCATCATGACCATCTTGTGTGACATTACTAAGTGTGGAATCTCTTGCCTCTACACAGCAACTTTTTCACATATTTCTTTCCTACCTTGCATCCATATTTCTGACTTTCTGTGTCACTTTGGATATGGTTTCTCCTGGGTTTGATCCCATGGACAAAGGCCTTGGTTCTTCACTTGAAACTCTGATAACTTTTCTTTTTTCTGGGGCTGTGTGGTATCTACTAAAAGTATCTGCAATGCAATTAAAATAATATGAAAAAAGGTTAAGTAAAATAAAGAGTGTAAGGTTTGTTTCAGTGTTCCATCTGTGAGTTAGCAATGCCYTGGCTTGAATGAGCCAGAGGTCATTTCAGGATTCAATGTATTAGTTATCCGCACCCTAACTTTGATCAGCCCATGGATTGTTTCCACAGTTTAAAGGTYTTTCATTACCAATTGTTTGGTTTTCAAGTGCCATAGCTTTGAAGATTTCCTCTGCATTTTTATCTTCTTTTGTTTGGTCAGATGATTGACTTTTTCTTGTTGAGGACAGCCTTCTGATTCTATTCCTGGGAGCTGTAAATAAAACAAGTTCTTCTTCAATGAACTGCACACAATAATCCATGAGAAAGTACTGATTGTGATGTATGGAGATGGTACAACAGGTAATGATGATGATGATGATGATGATGATAAATATTGATATGAAGGTGTAGTATTCACGACATCAATATAATAATGGGATTAACAGTGGATTCCACAGAGTGGCTCTTCTTCCGCTAGAGATATGATGTCGATATGAAAATAATGTTGATGAAAATAGATGATGATGATGATGAACATATTTCAAATAACTTACAACAATTCATTTCAATATTATCTTCTGGTGTTTTTGAGTTCAAAGGTATAAACATTGGAGCTATCCTGTAAAAAAAAAGCAAATAAGTTTTAGAAACAAATAGAGGTTTGCACCATCACGTGACGGCATCCATGTTAGATGGCAGGAACAATACGATTGTTTTACATGAGAAAGAATTCAATTTCCGAGAGCAAAGGGATTTTATTGTTCTGCCATCTAACCACAGACAGTCCAATCTGGATTATGGCGCCAGTACATGATATGAAAATAACCCTTATAGGAATTGAAATATTCACCACAACCTTATGATAATCATAAAGGGATCCCATTGTATTTTTCCCACTGTTAGTCCCTGGGGATGTGGTTGCTTTTTTTTGGGTCGGTATTCTCGCAGCCACTAACTTGTTTTTCTGTTACTGAAGAGGACCATCATATTGTATATTTATTGATTTCATGATATTCTAGAATCGTTTGACTCCCCCACTTACTTTGAAACATTATCTTTCACTTTGTTAGTTGCTGGTACGATTTCCTCAGCATCTGATTTCCTTCTAGACAACAACAGTACAAAAACTTGCTTTAATATGCAATAAAAATTTATGTTCCATTGTCCTCTTTGCTTTAGTTATCAAAAAAGTAATAAACTACAGAAGAAAAGGAAAAACTTCTTGCCTAAAGAAGACCAGGAGATAACATTAATGACTGGGATAATTTTACTAAAAATCCTATTCATTATAAAGTAGATGAAAAGACTTGGCAATTTATATTTTTGAGTGCGATGTAACAATAGACTTCATAGTTGGTGGATCAAGGGATTCTATAGTAACTGTTCTAAGCCATAAAATTGATAATCATAAAATTCAGTGAAAGGATGTGGTCACAGCTTAAAATTACCTTGTGCTAGGCAAAACTCTTTCTTTTTTCTTTGTCTCTAAAAAATAATTAGTAGAGATATTGATAAGTGCCATTAGGTAAGATTTAAATGTGTAGGGTCTGGGGAGGATCTGAGGAGGGTCAGCGGAGGGTCTGGGGAGGGTCTGAGGAGGATCTGAGGAGGGTCAGCGGAGGGTCTGGGGAGG